GCGCCGATCCTACCCTTCTGACTCTGCGAGATGAGGGCCCGGTCTTCCGGTCTCAGGCCTTGAGCACAAGTTAGCTATATTCTTATGGAAGAGCAGAGCGTCAGGAGATTTTCTACAGCGGTCAAAAAAAGAACAACCAATCAACATGTAAATACCCCACTATACCACTAAAATCAGTGCGAGTCCTGCGAGGGACCAGCCAGACCACCGACGTCGATAACGACCACGCATTGACCACGACAACCCGGACAAAGCACACGCATGCTCTTCCTTTTTCTCTCCCTCCTTTCTCTTTTGGGAGGCGGGCTCTGGGTTGGAAGGAAAAATTCTATGGCATTGAATAGAGTGAGGGCGGAGGTGGCGGAGGAGCTCGTGATGTCCACTGAGGCAGTGACCGAGTGAGTTAGTGCTGTTCGGGCGAGGCGGAACTACCTACCTACCTGAGGGCGGGACGGGTCCAGTGCCTCTCGAGGGTCTGATGTAGGGGTGGTATTAGGAGGGGCTCTGTGAGCTGTTTGAGGGCAAAGCGTACCTTTCCGTCTCTCTGTGTGTGTGCGTGTGCGTGCGTGCGTGCCTGTGTGCCAGCCATCAAGTACCAGCGACGAATCTATGGCCGATGGGTTTCGTTTGGCGGTTGGTCGGTTGTGTTGGTTCCCAGGGTTGGGCGTGGTTGTTGATAGTCACACCATTATTGTATTCAGGCACGATGGATACCGGCTTAGACTCGCGGATTGAATGAATACAGGGGATGGACTAGATCTGATAGTGTCTTGGCCTCCTGTTTTGTTGTGCAGGTATATCTTGCAGTGCATTTGTCCTCTGTCTGTCTGATTATATGCCTGGCGGCAGTTATTGTATGGCCAATGTATAACCAAACCGGCCGCATGTTACATATAGGTACATCACCGTCGCGTAATGCATATCCTTCCTCGAGCAGAATTTGTCTCATCTGACTTTTTGGAGGTTTGGTATGTACCGATCAGCTATACACATCATCTAGTCAAGTCTTCTTTGAAGTTCCTGTCTGTGAGAAAAAGAGTCGACTGGGTACTTACTCAAGCAGGTACTATGTAATCAGCCACCCCCAGCACGACATCGCCGGCAAGATTGGGGTACACCATCACACCCTGCATATCAACCCGTGGGGACGATCAAACGTCACCGTCGTTGTCAGACCGGGCTAACTTTCCTGCTGGCTTTATGGGGTAAATAGCCAAGGAACCCTAGATCTTATCCGGCTTACAGTCTCGCTCCAACCTGTCCTGGTACAAACTCGAGTAACATCTCGAAGAACAAATCCCAATCCTCCAAAGATGCGTGCGTCTGGTCACCAATTCGTGCTCGGTGCACTCTGCGCCGCCCTGGTCATCGCGGAGGAGGGTCATCAGCAGCCGCTCCAGGGAGGGGGCAAGGAGGAAAGCAAGAAGGGCCCCTTCACTGAGGAGTATGGGAAGTATGTCGAGCAGCTGGTTGATGAGTGGCATGTGCCGGGCGTGGCGATTGGGATCGTGGATGGGGACGATATATGGACTGAGGTATAGTATGGCCCTAATCACTCCGGGAAACATATGCGAGACTCGATTCTCAAGAATTGTGAGGAGTTTTTGTATATTCTTATGTCGAGTGACATCGTTGCATACTCATACTGGATGAGAATTCCGGCTTGAACGATGAGTGTGAGCTTACAAGTCGGGATGTACTTCTTGTTCACTATATACTGGAATTTGAAGAGAGAAACGTACGCAACTCAACTTACACAACCTCCAGGGCTACGGCATCGCAACCTACCCATCCACCCCAGTAACCCCATCAACACTCTTCTACTGCGCCAGCACCTCCAAGGCCTTCACGGCAGCAGCCCTCTCCATCATGATCGACTCGGGCAACTACACCATACCCGCCCTCCCAGGGACGCCCAACCGGCTGAACTGGAACACGCCCATCCACGATATCATCCCAGAGGACTTCGTCCTGACCGACCCCTGGGCGACAACACACATAACGATCGAGGACGCCCTATCCCACAGGTCCGGCCTCCCCAGACACGACAAGGCCTCGACCCACCGGGTGCAGGACAACAACAGCAACAACAACAACAACAACAACAACAGCCGCCCCGCAACGATAAGGGACGCCGTCCGCTCCCTCCGCTACCTACCCCTCAACGAGCCCCCGCGCACAAAGTGGCAGTACTGCAACCACATGTACGTCGTAGCGACCCACGTGATCCAGACCCTGACGGGCCGCGCCCTGGGCGCCGTCCTCCGCGACTGGATATGGCAGCCCCTGGGCATGCACCGCACCTACTTCAGCCTGGACGACGCGCTCGCCGCGCCCGAGCACCTGGCCGACGGGTACGGGTGGGACCGGCGGGCCGGGAGCTTCGTGCGCGTGCCGCACATGGCGACGGACGAGATCGGGGGCGCCGGCGCGGTCATGTCCGGGGCGGGCGACTACGCGCTGTGGGTGCGCAGCCTGCTGCGGCGCGGCGCGGGCGGGGGGCCCGTGTTGTCGGAGGCGGGCCATGATGCCGTCACCACGCCGAGGGTGATCGTCTCGCCTGGGGAGGCGCTGGCTTCCAGTGCGAGGCCGTACGACTCGCCGCTGTTGTATGCGCTCGGGTGGGAGACTGCTAGCTACCGGGGGCATAAGTTCTGGACGCACTCGGGCGGCATGCACGCGATGGGGGCGGAGGTCTTTTTCTTCCCGGACTTGGACTTCGGCGTGGTTACCCTTGCCAACACTGCGGGGAGTTCGAACGCGCTGGGGGTTATTGTCACTTGGGGGCTGGTGGATGACAAGTTGGGGGTCCCAAAGGGGGAGAGACACGATTGGTCTAAAGAGTACGTTCTGCTTTGTTCGGAGTTTATTATTTTTTTTCTTCTATTATATTCTATGATATATGGAAAAGTCCTTGCTAACCAGACATGTTTGGACATAGCTGGGAAGGTTGGGACGAGAAAGAGGACGCCAAAATCGACAAGGCCGTGGCGAAATACTACCCCCACAGGCCAGCTGAGCGCATACCACCATCATTGCCGCTCGAGGCCTACACCGGGACGTACTTCCACCCAGGCTACCTCAACTTCACACTCGAACTCGCCGCGCCGGACTCCACGACGCGGTCAGGAATCTCGCTCACGGCGACGAGGACCGACGCGACATGGCCGACGTTCAACGAGTTCGAGCACGTGACTGGGGAATACTGGATGATGTACCTCCAGCTGCTGACCAACCCCCGAGGCCCCTTCAAGGAGTACGCCCCGGCCCAGTTCCGTGTTGGTGCTGACGGGAGGGTCGAGGCGCTGGGGATCACATGGTTATCCACGTCCGGCTTAGGAGAGGATACGGTTGAAGGGTTGGTCTGGTTCGATAAAATCGCTTGAGCGAGCAGAACCGAGTTGGTTGGATGTGCATATCCGCGTCACTATTGATCTCGAGTTAGCATACATGGCCTTCGAGGTATGTCTTGGGCTATTGGCAACGAGATTGGAGGGTGCAAAATCAGACTGTTGAGCTTGATAAATTGATGATCAACATGGGTTTGACTTTCAGTTGGCCGTTCTTAATGGTATAAAGTTTGTCATCATTTTGCAGACCGTGTTCCATTCCAATGCGGTAGGAGGAACACGGAGGAGAGAGAGATAGAAAAGAACACTTCTTACCTTGACGGGATCATCCATTTTGGCGGTTGTATGCCATGGGGGATGCCATTGGAATGCCTCGACAACTGAGTCCTCTAGAGAGAGCTTCAGTCGGTGAGGGAGTAGAAGCGGAAAAGAAGGATTGAAAGGAAGCTCGGAATTTTGGAGCTGGGAGTTTTGTACGCTTTTTTTGCGCCGGCGGGGTTGCTTATGTAATTAAACTCCTGGCCACTCGACCCCGAACCCTACTAAGTGAGTGGGTACTCAAACTCCTACATATTGAAAGCGCTGACGACGAGCATATCGAACCGCTGTTCATGATCGAACATTCTTCACTTCCGAAATTCTGCTGCCCGAGACTCTTGAGCTATGGCAACCTGCAGCTGTGTATATAACTCCTCGCAAGTTGGAGAAGTATACTGGTGCATTCGCCATCATCATCCTACTTGGGTGAGTAGGAGACCTTGATATCATATGGGATCTCAGTAAAATCACACGGAACAAGTCGCTTGGTTCCCTTGGTATGTACCATCTCGTTACCGAGGGCAAAACCCGTGAGTTCACAGGAGAGAGCGAGTATTACTGTCCCCATTATATATACAGGAGCGAATCAAAATCATCACTTCGAACAGCAGCATGAGAAATTGGACTGGTTAGTCAATCTTGACATAAGTTCACATATGCAGTTGGACTGGTCAACTGCATAGCCACATCTTGACGAGACAAGATTCCGAAGCCGAAGGATTGTGCGAACTAATGACGTGAAGGCACAGGCAATTCGAAAACTGGTGACAACTTCTGGTCACGTAGATCAGCGTGCTCTGAAGGGAGGGACTCGGGGACTTTGCTGTTATCGTGCCCAAAGCCGCTTGGCGAAAGGACGCACAGTATCAAGGTAAGCCTTGGAAGTTCTGGACTGTGTCGTTGACTGAAGCGACCTCGGCACTACTAAGGAATTATTTTGGGCCAAGGCAGGCAAATTGTCCGTTGCTCCTGTGTAAGTCGGTTCGATCAAGCACGAGGATTATGTTCCCAGCAGTGATCAGTGAAGCCTACATACCTGTAGCCAATGGATATTGTTCACCTTGCTTTTGTCTTGTTGTCCTTGGTTTTCCAGCTTACAACGGCCGTACATCGAGTATCCTGTGTGTGGATATATAGCAAAGTTCCCCAATGTCCTGCGCATACCCTGGACATTTGGAAATGTCTTCATACCCTTTGCGGGTGTCTTGGTCCTGTTGAAGGGAGGGTTGGTCGTTTTCGTCGATACCGACCAGCTCCACACCCACTAGTCATGCGTAATATAAAGTCACCCGCCAGCCACACTTCCAACCAACAGCCTTCGGGGCAACACCAGGTCTGGTGGTCTAGTGGTATGATTCGCGCTTAGGGCTTACCCTGAGTAAAATGCGCGAGGTCCGTAAGTACTATCATTCAATTCTGAATCAGCACATCAACATATTCTAACATCAACATAGCGGGTTCAATCCCCGGCCAGACCCGAAACATCTATTTTTTGCCTTTTTGCCTGTCTTATTTTTGCAACCTTGCTGTTGAGATCCTATGCGCTTGCACTGGGCTGGACAAACGAATCCTTGGCTTCGGTCGGCCTCGAGGACCTTTACGGCAACTCGGAGGGCCTTCTTTACTAACTCCACTCAGTCGGTTTGCTGTGCTATGTCCATGGCTATTGCGCTCATTCGTCTGCTGTCGCATGGTGGTCCACCTGCTTATACTGGCACTGCATCAACGTTGTTGCCCAGCTGCAGAGGCAACATCTGCTTGCCCTCAGTACCACCTGGGCGCCTGCCGCTATTACCGCCGTTTTCACAAGTCCCTTACAGATGGCAATCAATATTACTGCGCCACGGTGGAGGAAGCGAACCAAAAGGATTCGCAACCGACGCGCTGACCCACTGGGATCACCAGTACTGTGTACTATTAGTCACCGACACCCTCCCCATGTCAGTCAGCATGTCAGGCAGGCGGCTCTGTAGCAGCTGACCTACTTTCTGACCACCCCGATCGACGCGGTGTGGCTCTGCCGACTATTTCGGTCAATGACGCCCCAGCTTGTGTGGAGGTAGGTAGTAGGCAAAGTGTCAGCCTGCAGCTTCCATACGGCCTCAGAGGTAGGAGAGTTGTTCATCTCCTTTGAAATGTTGTTGTTCCCATCACCTCGTCGGGATGGTTTGCTTTCTTGCCGTCGCTCGTTTCGTTTCTCTGGTCGTGGTTTCTGCTCGGTGTAATATAATCCGAGTCTCTTGCAGCTTAACGGAATACTCACCAAGTAGGTAATAACAAGGTTCTTCTGGTTGAGGCGCATCGCGTCGCATCACTCTCTATAGTCGCAGTTCCGGAGAGACGGTCTCAACATGGGAGATATAGAAGGGCCACGGGCAGACGATGTTGCTCATGCCGAGTCCAGAGCGCCCATAGAAGTGATTGGTGCGCGTGGTAATGCGAGACTCGATAATAACCCGGAAGATACGCCAGAGCGCATCCAGTCTGCTCCTCTTCCTCCCAGGCCTTCTTCATACCCAGGTCATGAAGGCCAAGATAATCATTCTGATGATGCGCCGCCATCGACAACCGGCTTGCTCTCACTCCGCCAGAGACAGCTGGCGTCCACATACGACAGCGACCATGCCGCCTCCAACCGAACAAGCATGTCCCACTGGGATCCCGAACCTGGCTTCGCACATGTTGACGGGGAAATCGGTGGTTCCGGCTACAACGAGACGCTCGTCGACATCGTCACCGTGCCTTGTCCTGGCGCCGACCCCGTCGAGACCTGGACTCGGGACCCTCTACCAGATGGGTTCTTTGGCAATCCCAGTGACAATGAATTGACCTCATATCCCACCGTCAAGGAGCTGGCGGGCGATGCCATCCTCACGCCAGGGATCAGCGGTAACTTTCCCAAGGCGGCCCATCTATGGGTCAGGCAGGGCATCCGCCGCTATGCCAATACGGCAAGGGTTTTGCTTTACCGACACCGTGAGCTGACGGAACTCACTACCCTGGATGAGCTTGCAAAGGATTTGCTGGACAACGTACTTCAGCGGCGGAAAGGCCTGAGCGCATCCCGCCCTGTCTTTTTCATTGCGCACAGCATTGGTGGCTTGGTGGTGAAGCAGGCACTCCTCAAAGCGGGCCATGATGAGAAGTACCGCGAGATCCTCCTCAACTGTCATGGTGTGACATTCTTTGCCACGCCGCATCGTGGCTCAAGTCACATGTCCAGGCGACATCTGAGTGAGAGCATACAGCTTCTTCTCCACTTGCAAAGACCGCTGCCGAAAACGCTTGCGCAAGTCGTTCGAGTGGGAAACAAGGACCTCTTGAAGATGCACGATGAGTTCACTGACATTGCGAGCGAGATGCGATTGTGGACTTTTTACGAGACGATTGACTCCGAACTCTCAGGTTCAGGCTACGGCACCGCGACTGAAGTCGAGTTCAGGGCCCCTCTCGTATCCATAAAGTCCGCGATCGTCGGCGTGCGACAGGAGACGATATACTCGTCACTGCAGAGCGACCACGCCCACTGTGCTTCCTTCGGCATCACAAACCCGCACACAATGGGCACCTATCTGCATGATCTGGCAAACGCTGTGGCCAAGGCTGAGATCCTGAGCAGGACCACCCACACGCCACTGCGGCTCAAGGAGCAAGTGAAGATCGAGCTTGTCGGGTTCTATGAGGATCCTGATACTGATCTCCAGTCCGACATTCGACTGTACTTCACCAGGCATCATCTCGCCGAGTTCCTGAAGCAGGGACCGGAAAGGTGCCTTGAGGAGCGTCTAAGGGGTGTGCCACGACGCCGCGGTGCCCCAGGACACAGGAGCGGCGCCCAAGCTGTGGCCACGAGTGGTGGACATGGCGGCTTGAACATCCTAGATAATATGCAGGAACTTAGAGACAGCGCCGGACCCGGCTCCCATGAACGACAGCGTCCATCCTCCCCGCCTATCATTGTTACCCAGCCATCCATGACGGAGGAACATGAGCTGCCGCAGGCTGTTGGCAGACGCCCACATAGCCTGACTTTGCCAAACCTCTCCTCGCCTGGCTTTCAACGACCCTCGACCAGGGGCAGCGGCGGCACCGTTAGCACCGCGTCGGATCCAACAGGCGGAGAGCTCTCCCCAAAGGAAGGTGCTCCGGATACGCACCGGGAGGTTCGAGGCCATACCAATCGTGCAGGTGCAGATTCTGGCAGGACAGAATTATATACAGCAACGAAGAGCCACGAAGAGAAGTTCAGTCCATCCTCGATACTTCAGGACTTGGTAGCGGGTTTCTCCCGGCCGGAACCTGCCAGGAGGAAGTTCATGTGGATTCATTTACCATTCACAAATCCACTCTGGGTCAAGGTAGGCTATGTTCATCAGCGTGGTAGGTATTTCCTAGCAAGTTGCTGACCCATCTTCCAGGACATATTCGACAAGCTATCCGAGACACATAACCAGAACTTCAGCAAACTCTTCAACAACGAGAACTGGGTATCACGGCACGTCCACGGCAGGCATTCCCAATCTCAGCCATCCTTCGTAAAGCCCGCCGTTCACTTCATCCCGCCCGATTCCGCGCCGTCTCCTCGGCCGTCATCACACTCAAGCCCGAAGCTCGGCAACACCGGCCCTCCGACGAGCTACCTATACCTCTATCTTCCGTATCTCCATTTCGACACTTACCGGCAGATAATCAAACGCCGAAGCATCATGACGAGAAGACTGGCCCATGGCCGGGCGAGGCCAGTGCCCGAGGACATCGCCAGGTTAGATTCCCTAGAGCTCCGCATGATCTGGGAGTACCTAGGCTACGACCCGCCCCTCAACTGCCGCAGGACCCTGGACCAGTTCGGCTATCCCTCCCTGAGGAACACCTACGCGCGCGACGATGACCAGATGCTGTACAAGCTCACGAAGGAGGACACGCCGCAGCGCTCCTCCTCAGCGCACACCATACGCGAGGAGGAGGCGTTCAAGTCCCTCGCGGAGAGGTACTCGCAGGGCACCAAGCTCCTCCACGAGGTCGTGGAGAGGGAGAAGGAGGCATCGGCCTCGGACTCGGAGAACGAGACCGAGTCGTCGTCGTCGTCGTCGTCGCCGTCGGAGCTCCGCGACGGGAACCTCCTGATGGTGGACCAGCTCTGGCTGTGGGCCGTCGACGCGACCACGCTCGCGACCTTCTTCCCGAAGCGGGAGTCCCGCCCCTCCGAGGGCGCCCTGTTCCAGCAGGCCGACCTGCGCGACAGCATCTACAACGAGCTGAACGGCGACCTCACGGGCCGGTGCGAGAGCGCGCTCGACCTGGCCGCCTTCGTGGCCCTCCACGCCGTCACCGTGCTGCTCGACCGGTCGTCGCACCCGGACCTGGAGGTGTTCCGGATCTTCGAGGAGGCCATCGGGATGCTCACCGAGCGCATGACGTCCAGCCTCAAGAAGTTCCGCATGCAGACGTTCAGGGAGGTCGAGCTCCTGGGCCCGGGGGACGGGGACCCGGAGGACAACAGCACCAGGGCGATCAAGAGGCGGCACAGGCGGGAGATCGAGGTGGCGGAGCGGGAGAACCGGGAGAACACGTCTGCGCTGATGGAGCTGCGCGACATGGAGGACGAGCTGAAGACGCTGTACAAGCTGTTCGACACGCAGGCGGTGGTACTGGGGAGGATGCTGGATATCTACCTGGGCGATGGCCTCAAGGACGTGACGCTGCACGGACAGGGGTACCTACAGGAGGCGCTGGGGAGGCTGGACGAGTATAAGGCCCAGACGACGGAGATGCTGGATAGAGTTGCGGCGACCAAGGGCGACGTGAGTATATATACTTCCTTTCCCATGACGCAACCTCGCTGCTTCCTGGCAGGAAGATAAAAGAACCAGAAGCAACATCCCTCTCCCATCACCCAAAACATCTACTAACATACCCGCCCCATCCCCCCCAACAGTACGAGAAGCTCCTCGAGATGGCCCAGCGCCAAGCACAAGTCGACGACGTCCGGTGGTCGCGCCTCCAGACCGAGCTCGCCAGCTCGCAGAACCTGTCCGTCATGATCTTCACCATCTTCACCGTCATCTTCCTCCCGCTCTCCTTCTTCACCTCCCTCTTCGGGATGAACACGGTGGAGTGGGACGCGCAGCTCCCCACCCTGGGCTTCATCGGCGAGGTCAGCCTGCCCATCTCCGTGCTCATGATCCTGGCCACCCTCGTCGCCGCCTTCAGCAGCCACGTGCAGGTCTTCTTCGGGACGGCGTGGCGCCGGGCCCTCGGGTGCTGGGAGGCGCTGGCGGGCGGGCTGGAGAGGCTGGAGCCCGCGGCGAGCAGGAGGCTGAAGGAGAGGAGGAGGGCGGAGAGGGTGAGGGAGGAGAGGGGGGAGCGGGAGAGGAGGATGAAGGATATGCGTTATGACTTCTGGGCGACCGTGAGGCGGCAGTGGACTATGGGGTCGTATGAGATCCCGGATCTCAACCGGGCGAGGACCGGCACGGGG